AGAAAAGCCATCGATAAGGAATCCCTCTTCAGTTCACCATCACATTACTTTACCTACTCCAACGTATGTTGACGTTTATCATGCAAATAATTCCCAAAACCGTTAACTTTCATATATGCGATGAATGCCCCTTACTGCCATTTTCATGGTATCTGCTTAGCTACCACCGACAGAGTTCAGCCATATTTTACTTTCTTAATCCGTTACCGAGTCTTTTCGCCGGGCGTTGGCCTTATATGAAGCACATATTGTGTGCAGACCTAGCTGGAGACTGATGTTCCTGACCCCTCGCTTACTGACTAACCACACAGCATTTATTGAAGTGTAAAGGTGTATAGAGTACTGATGTCATACGCAGAGAGCTTCTGCCCTTGAGGCATTCGGTCAGTTTGAACTGACATAGAGAAGATAAGCATGCCCGCTTCAGTACTTGGATGTTGATTGACTGCTTGGAAATTCATGCTATAGAAACTGCTTCACTTAATATAGCTACCTCTATCCGAGCTTTGAAGCATCGCACACACTTTAGCTTAACTTGGAAGTATAGGATTATCGACATTTCTCGGCACTACTCGGGTTGTGATGTGAGTCGCCTTGTGCTTTGTCAACATAACTGGACAAATCGCCAATACCCCCGTTACTAATAGCATATACTCAAACAGTGTTACAGGTAGTATACATTCCATATACAATCGTCTATACAGATCTATTGAATCTCAATGTACATATATCACTGTGTAATTACATTAGGCTTGTTCGCCCCCCAATCTCTTGACTGCCCTCACCATTAGGCATCTCGCCATTCCGGCCCACTACGAACTCACGGTATATTGCCTGGAGTCGTCGTCGCTCTGCTGCACTGAGTGAACTACGTGTTGTGTTGAGTGACCGCTCCATGTGCTCCCATTTGATAGTAATCTCTTGACGAGGCTCTTCCTGAGTGGTCTCATTTGTGGCAGTAGTTGCGGCGTTGGTTGTGCCTTGCGTAATCTGCCGTTGGCGCCGCCGGGCACTCTTAATCGCATCGAGCTTGGCCGCAACAGCTGCAGGTGGAGGCATAGACACTGCTCCGTTGGCCTGCTCTGACGTGGAGTAAAGAAACTGGATGAAGGACTTTGTACTGGTGTTTGCCGACTGCTTGGTATTGCTTTTGGCTGCTGGCTTATCAGCATTATGATCTCCGAGAGCATCATGGACGGCTTCAAGGTGGGCATTATAGACGACAGCTTGAAGATCAGCTCCAGAGAAGCCCTCTGTTCTCGCAGCGACTTCATCTAGGCGAGCCGCAACTTCGTCATTCATCACTAACTTCGAACTGACAGCTTTGATGATATCAGCACGGTCTGAGTGATTCGGCATACCGCAGAGTAGAGATTTGTCCAGACGACCCGGACGCAACAGTGCAGGATCAATCAAATCGGGTCGAGAAGTAGCGGCAAGAACGTAGACTCCAGAAAGCCCTTCCGCACCATCCATCTGTGTGAGCAGTTGGTTGACCACGCGATCTGTGACACCTGTGGAATCATGGCCACGCTTGGGCGCTATACTGTCGAATTCATCGAAGAACAAGACACAGGGCCTAGCAGCTTGAGCTCTTTCAAACAGGTCTCGTACGCTTTTCTCACTCGCACCGATATATTTGTTCAAAATTTCAGGACCCTTGACGCTTATGAAATTGAGGCCACACTCGCCTGCTACCGCACTGGCTAGAAGGGTTTTACCGCAACCAGGAAAGCCATAGAGCAACAAACCAGACCGTAGACGCAGGGGACACTGCGCAAAGATGGGAGCGTACTTGGTAGGGTATTGGAGTGTCTCTAAGAGCATCTGGCGAGTCTCGTGCAAGCCACCAATGCCGGCAAATGTTGTAGTAGAAGACGTGAGAGTAACGTTGCGAAGGGAGGCTGGTGTGAAGCCTTTGATGGCATTTTCAAAGTCGTCAGCACCGAGGGTGATCGCCTTTGATGTTCCAGATAGCTCTTGCACAGAGCGGATCAAAGCCTCATTTCTCGCTCGGGAGACGAGTAGAACTAAGTCGCCAGGCATAAATCCATCTGTTTTACCAGCAAGTTCAAGGAAATCTATATCGCGACTCAAGACAAAACCGTCTGCTCCAGCAGAGCTCGGTCGGCTATCTGGATTGGAGGGATCTAACCATGAGCCCTGGGTAGATGCACTAGCTTCTCGTGCATGGCCATTTGTAGTGATACTGGCGCCTTTATCTTGACTCGTCAGCTGCTCCAGTACCTTCCGTCGGCCTTCTTTATCCGGAGCCCTGATATGAATAATTTCACGGGCAACATGGCCTCCAATTATAATGTTGTTCAACGACTCCTTCGACTGCGCAGTCGCCAATAACACCACTGAAGAATTCATGGAGCAGTATTCTCGCACCATAGAGCAAATCACTTCACTGTTCTGACGGCTGCGGCCATTGTCTCCTCCAACCTGTAGCTCTGTCTCCACTGGGCACAGTTTATCGAGGTCATCCAGGATCACGACTGAGTGCCCCCCTAGGCGAGAGCACCAAGAAGCTGACATGAAAAGGCGGTTCAAAGTCTCTTTGATATTGGAGATTCGAGTCTCGTCAGTGACGAGTTTGCGACAAGAGAAGTATTTCACATTGAAGAGGTGGTCTTTTCGAAGTCGATGTGCCAGGAGATGGCTAAGCTGTGTCTTTCCAGAACCCAGTCCGCCTGTCAACAAGATTGACGACGACTTAGTTAGGTTGTCAAGAGACTGTGCGATGATTTTATCAATGCCCACCATCTCTGGTACAACGGACGGTATTGTATCCTCCGTGGGCATAGGAGATGAGCCCTGATCTAAAGGTCGGGGAATTTCAGACTGTACTTCGAGTGATAGCTTCTGTTCCGATCCCTGCAACCACCCAAATGCTGGTTCTGAAGCGGCCTTTAGGGGAGGGTCAAATCTGATAATAGCACCATCAAATGCAGACACCGTTGTCTGATTATCTGCTTTCGGGAGAACCATTCCATCTGTCAAAGGTCCCGACAGTAAACCCTTATCTGAGCCAGGGCTACCATATATTACCTTTATACGCTCGGCTAGCGCATCCTTTGCAGCTGCGGTATCAGCACCAAATTTTAACCCATCCTTCTTCTTGGAGGTGTCGGCCATGAAGGGATAGACCTTGATTGACTTGACAGCGGATTTTTGCAATGGTGGAGGGGCTGCTTCGACACGGATGATGCCACCTACCATGCCCTCAGCACCAAGAGCGGAACACAGCAGCGTAGACATAGCCAAGTGCTCACTGTGCGGAGCATCTACCCACGGAAGCAATTTGGCAACGAGTTTTGTGGTGGGCGCACCGGCCTCGTTTGACTTCTGTTCTGCTTGATTCAATTGTTGTTGAGGGTCAAGCGGCGGTTTCAGGCCGGAAGGTTGAACGACGGTGATGCAAGCCCAGTTGGCTCCACGAAGTTCGTTTGACACAAGTATATCGGGCTCTACCCAAACACGGAAGCCCTTGTTGGTATCATCTTCTGACTCTCCATCAAAGTACTGCTCAGACAACTGTCGATCAATGCCTCTGAAATAGAGACATCCTCTGCTTGTCGAGTCTGATTTACTCTTTGTCCGCGCGGTGCTTCCGCTACTCCTACCCCCGACGCTTCTTCGGCTGCTCCCAGCGACACTCCTACTATCCCCTCGGGTCCCTCTTGTATTCTTGGGGCGCACTTTCGGAGCAACAATGACCTCCGCATCGGGTGCTATTTTGGCGAATGGGGAGGTGTCCGATGGCGCGGGCGTAAGAGACGTAATGACAATATTGGCGGTAGATGTCGGGGAAAGATGCAGCGTAAGAGGATGCATATGGTCTGGTTGAGCCGTGCTGTATGTTGGATTTGGAAGAGCCCGAATCTGAGAGAGAAGGTTAAGCTCCAGAAAAGTTGCGTGCAACTCAATGACTGTGGTCAGGGTGAATCAGTAAATGCATCCTCAGTATTGTCGAAGGTGAACACCATACTTTCCCAGTCCTCAGGAGTTAGAGGCTCTATATTGATGGTATGCGCTACCGGAGGGTCCAAGTGAATGAATACTCCGACCTAAAACCGTATTAAAATAACTAGATATAGGGCAGGAGTTAATGTGCATAGCGTACTCTTTGTCCTTCGGTGAGGCCCAAGACTCTCCCAAACGTAGTATCCAATTCAACAGTAGAAATATCCTGTTCTCTAGACGAGGGGCCGCCATTGATGCCATCCTTTCCAACAACTGGCGCAAGCTTTCGCTTGCTTGGCATGCCCGTCCACCCCAGATAACATGATCGTTGTGTCGAATTGCCGCTGACCTTTCCGGATGTAGGTCGGTATTGCAGCTCGACAATCACATTTTGTGCAGCCTGACAAACAATTAGGTTTTCCGAAGTTAATTGACATCCACAATAGATGAGCTAGCTTACAGAGTTGGCATTGACTAGCAGTGCAACCAGCGACGGCGGTAAGTTCACTAGACAGTTCTTCAAAGGTACGAGGGCAACCTCGGCCGTGGTGGAAGGTTTTTTGGGCGCCATTCTCAGGCGATGGCAGGGTATGCGTCTTCTATTTTAAAGCAGCAGAGAGCTCTTGAAGAAGAGAGAAGACCGCAGCTCATTATGTCCCCGGACATCGACTCCGCAATCAAGCGCCCGCCATGCGCCGTTCGCCGAGCCGGCCGGCCCATAGAGGTCGGACCGAGGCTTATTCCGGTCCGATACACGTGCACGTATCACTAGTTCCTTTTTAGACTAGTGCAATATAAGGAATGAAAACGCGTCGGTTTCGTGTCGCGACGTGTTTTTGCGCCTCAGGTTGCTGGGCCTAAGGTTGCTGGGGTTCCGAATTTGATCCACTACCAACTTCTCCGAGAGGACACCAAAAGTACGCCCGCCGCTTCCTTCTGCCCCCCGGATTGATGCGAGTCTAGTACTGCCGCCATTCGCATCACTTGCCAGTTAATTTGTCGAGTAAACTGGCTCATCCCATTGTCGCATCATGGCTTTGCTTCAGTACCACGCTCCAGTTGACTATGCGGCGCAATTGGACGCCTTCAAGGATTTCCTCACGCACTTCAAAACATTCGAATCAGCTTCTGCATCCGCTGCGACCGAAGCTATTGAAGACTTACACATTGATGGAGACCGTACCAGCGATGAATATGACTTTATGGATGATGCAGAAGATGAGAATGGAGCCCAGAGAGAAGGATCAAGCCGCCGACGTCGCGAACCAAAACTGAAATATATGCAGATGCTCCAGGATGTGGCAGATCGCGAGCGCACAAATATCCTCATCGAGCTTGATGACTTAGCTACTGTGAGTACTCGACTGTTTGTTCCTCAATACAGTGGCTGACATTATCGCAGTTCGAGAAGTCGCTCCCGGAGGACTCAGACCTTAAGCTTGTTGAGTCTGTGCAGAAGAACACCAACCGCTATGTTGATGTTCTCTCACAGGCTGCCGATGCTGTCATGCCCAAGGAAACTAAGGAGATCACGTACGTGGTGAAACCGAATGTTTGGGCGAGCCCAAGGCTGATCGAATATAGATTCAAGGATGATGTACTGGATGTTATCATGTCACAGCGTGAAAAACGGAACGAGGCCATGACAATGGCCATGGAAGCCGACACGGACGCAGCGGCAGCGCCCTCAATCTTTCCCCCTGAATTAACCCGTCGATACACCCTGAACTTCAAGCCAATTACTCCTTCCGGATCAAGCAGTGAGCGTGAATCCAAAGCCCTTGCGGTTCGAAATGTACGAGCAGAGCATCTCGGTGGCTTGATCACTGTCCGCGGCATAACTACTCGTGTCTCGGATGTCAAGCCAGCCGTCCAAATCAATGCCTACACTTGTGATCGCTGTGGATCTGAGGTCTTCCAACCAATCACTACAAAATCATACCTTCCTATGACAGAGTGCATGTCAGAAGAGTGTAAGCAGAACAACTCCAAGGGACAGCTGTTCTTGTCTACTCGTGCTTCGAAGTTCGTTCCTTTCCAGGAAGTGAAGATTCAGGAGATGGCAGATCAGGTCCCTGTCGGCCATATTCCCCGCACAATGACTGTTCACTGCCATGGCAGCCTGACACGACAATTGAACCCTGGGGATGTGGTTGATATTGCAGGAATCTTCCTGCCCACCCCATACACGGGATTCAGAGCTATCCGTGCTGGATTGCTGACCGACACCTACATGGAGGCTCAGAATATTACGCAACATAAGAAGTCCTACAACGAACTCGCGATGGATAGCCGGACTCTCCGCAAGATCGAACAACACCAAAAGTCTGGAAATATGTATGAGTACCTGGCACGCTCGATTGCCCCTGAGATCTACGGCCACCTTGACGTGAAGAAGGCCTTGCTTCTTTTACTCATCGGAGGTGTCACGAAAGAGATGGGTGACGGAATGCACATTCGTGGTGATATCAACATTTGCTTGATGGGTGATCCTGGTGTTGCCAAGTCTCAGTTGCTGAAGTATATTGCTAAGGTCGCTCCTCGAGGCGTGTACACCACTGGCCGAGGAAGCAGCGGCGTCGGTCTCACAGCCGCTGTGATGAGAGATCCTGTGACGGATGAGATGGTGCTGGAGGGAGGTGCATTGGTCCTGGCGGACAATGGCATTTGCTGCATTGATGAATTTGATAAGATGGATGACTCTGACAGAACTGCTATCCACGAAGTAATGGAGCAACAGACGATTTCGATCTCGAAGGCAGGAATCACAACCACTCTCAATGCTCGCACGTCTATCTTGGCGGCTGCTAACCCGCTTTACGGACGGTATAACCCACGCATTTCTCCGGTCGAAAATATCAACCTTCCTGCCGCCTTGCTTTCACGTTTTGATGTCATGTTTCTCATTCTCGACACTCCTTCACGCGACGCTGATGAAGAACTGGCACACCACGTCACTTATGTCCATATGCATAACAAGCACCCCGAAAATGAAGATGCGGGTGTCATGTTTACGCCTAGTGAGGTTCGCCAGTACATTGCGAAGGCACGTACCTACCGGCCCGTCGTTCCTGCATCCGTCTCGGACTACATGGTTGGTGCATATGTAAGGATGAGGAAGCAGCAGAAGCTGGATGAGAGCGAGAAGAAGCAGTTCTCTCATGTCACTCCACGTACTTTGCTGGGCGTTGTTCGTCTTTCACAGGCCCTCGCTCGTCTTCGCTTTAGCGAGGAGGTTGTTCCGGAGGATGTGGATGAGGCACTCCGTCTTGTTGAGGTTAGCAAGGCGTCTCTGTCTAACGATGGCCAGGGAACTGCGGACCAAACTCCCAGCAGCAAGATTTACCACCTCATTCGCTCCATGTGGGAGAGCGGTGCGGCAGCCGTGGGCGAAGACGGCGAGCTCAATATGCGGAGGATCAGAGAACGTGTCCTTGCTAAGGGCTTCACTGAAGATCAACTCAAGACGACCATCGATGAGTATGACCAGCTAGGAGTAAGTATTTCCAACAACACCCCTTCTTGTTGGTTTTCGACAGTTACTAACGTGATGCTCTCCTAGATCTGGCAAATTAATGGCAATGGCACACGTCTGATGTTTGTTGGCGGTGATGCGGAAATGGATATGTAAAGAAGGGTATTCCATCATAGTTCTCATTGAAAAAGAATATCTAATGTTTACCTGCCATGAGTTAATCGGGGCTAATCACGTCTAATCGTTTTTGTCTATTGTCCCGAATTGATGAAATTTTCAGAGGTTAGATTTGGCACAGGTGTTATGGTGCATAGTGTTTCTCAATGGAGTCCGGAACCAATATATACCTCAATATGATTTCCAATAGAACCCGTGGAAACAGAATCAAAGTCTCAATTAGAGCTCAGGTTAGGGAACGACAAACTGAAGCTGTAGTGCTAAGGTCAACGAAGGAGTGTAGATCAACCCTGACAACAACCATCCAATATCGAATTACTAAGTGCGGCTTCACCACCCTCAACCACCCACCCCATTATGTCCTTGCATAGTCCCCAATTCCCACCAAACATCAAGAATCTCTTAAACCTCGCACCTATTCTGAATCGGCACCTCGGCACACAGATTCGGGCCCGCTCCGTACGGATTATCGCAGAGCGTATTGCATTCAGTTGACTCTGGTGTGAAGACCAGGAACTGGTAGTTGGGCACGTTCAACCGGAACTGTTTGGTGATATCATTGTTGTTCTTCGACGCCTTGTAACCCGCGCGACAAGCGCAATGGAAGCGGGTGCCCGTGTTGATGCACGAGGTCGTGATGTCGCAGTTGTTTTGGCCCGACAGAGGGTTGCAGGTGCCGCAGACGGGCCTGGTGGGATTGGCGAGGACGAGGGAGGAGGTGGCCAACAAGAGGCTGGTGAGAATGGAGAGGGTTTGCATATTGGTGGTTAGGTATGCGTTGTCAATGGTAGAATTGAGAAGAGGAGAGTATAGAGTGTAGGTTGAGAAGTGGGCTTTGGTATGAGCTTTTACCTGAAGATTGGAAGCTTTGCTTGCTTATCTGATGCTCTATTTCGGGTTGAGCATGGTGATTGCAATTGCTTCTTATATATACCTTTTGTTTCTTCTGTTTTGGGGGACTATACCACGCGGCGGATGACTCGGTACGAACAGATTGGAACCCGGCCGCAGTTAGTTAGGCTTCCAAGTACGACCTTGGAAAAGGTTGAAGACGAGGACACCATTTTCGAATACATGTCTCTCAACGTGTAGCCTCTGCATCTGGAGTCTGTCAGGTGAGCTGGGAACCACAAAACTGGCGCCTTCGGATACGAGCTCTAGAACATGGGACAAAGGAACCGGTATCATGGTGTCGAGCTAAACGATCGTAGCATTCGCTTGAGGCGATAATGCGGGGGAGAGACTCTCGGATCTTTAGTCTAGACTTTGTAACTACCAAGCTTTGACTCGGTAATTTCATGCCGGATACATGTTCCGACGTAGTAGTTTGCTAAAAAAAATATGGATGACGCGGGTGGCAGGGAAATTGGGTTGAGACGTCGCTCTTGAGTTGTCAGCACTCTAGAGTCCTTTTACGTATTTTATTGTTGCTTGTACTGTGGTTGGATCGATATAAGAGGCTGTCATTTCCGCATTGGATGTTGGGTTCGCTAGAGATGTTCGTTGCTGCCACCCTCGTATATCAGCGAGTGCTATCCTGGAACATGACGAATGGTGGTGAGTTCATAGCGAGGAACCTGAGTCAATGACTCCATCTCTTGTGTGTACATTATAGAACATATCAATGATTTGGCTCTCAAATGCCGTGCTCACCTGACTGCCTTTGGTCTCCATTGGATGTTGATGAATGCATGGACTATTTATAGTGGTTCTGGACGAGAGTTTTCTAACGTGAAGACTGCAAAACCAAGGCGAGAAGCTAAATCATGATACTCTAAACTCTAAACTCATGGTTTATACAGTGCAACCGACATGTATGGCTAGCGTAAATCATCTATAGCGAGACATGAAGAGAGTCTACAGACGCGTCTTCGATTGTTCCGGCTCACCGATCAACTCCAGAAAACTCTCATGGACCTCATCGGTGAGGTCACTTGCCTGCATGCTCCTACCCTTCGCCTCAAAAGCGCGGCGAGAGCACTCTCTTGTAATCCCGCTGCCCGCCCAGGCAGCAAGCAGCAATGTTGTTGCGGGGGACATTCTCTTGTCCGATGACTCAAGCTCCGCCTGAATCTCCTGCTTACTTTGGGCCTCCCTTTGGTTATCCCTTTCACCGGAATCCCAAAGTCTGTTGTGATAAGCTGCTCGCCACGCCAGCAGCGTGCCCAACGATCCCGTGAGCGTGTCTCCCTGACCTCCACTGCGCTTCAACCCTCCGACGATATCGTTGACGATGCTCGTTACACCGTTTGAGATCACATCGTGCGGTCCCTTCTGAATTATTGTCACACCACCAAGAGCTTGCGACAACTTCTCACAGGCTTCGGTTTCTCGGCTTGTCTTGTCGCCGCCATCTGACTCGATCTGCGCCATGCTGGGAACCTCGATATCCAACGCCTTGGCTAGTCGGCTGAACTCGTTAACGTTAGGCGTCAATATGCATTCCTTGTACCCTTTGACAAGATCCGGTTGCTCCGTGACAAGCAGTAGTCCATCGGCATCTAAGACAAACGGTATTGAGCGGGACCGCGCCTCCTTCAAGACCTCTATAACCACTTTCAGCGTCACCCCGTCACGGCCCAACCCCGGTCCCACTACTAGGGCATGGAGACGAGATAGCATTGCCACGATGGGGCTAGCAAGCTTAGGCGCATCAATCGAATTGGGGTCCTTTACAGATTCGCTACTTGGTAGTAAAGGATGGACCATTAGGTTCGGAGAATAAGACTTGATAACCTGCATAGACTGGTGAGTCAAGGTATTCCAAGCGTAAGCCAACTGAAATGACACAGCATAAGCTTACAGTAGCTGCAGATCGCTCGCAGATAACATGACTCTGCTCTTTATCAGGAACCATCGCATGAATGATGAGATAGATTCGGGCGTCCTACCATATCGCAGCCTACAAAGCTTAGTCAAAGTAATAACTCTCATGACCATTGTTTCAGTCACATACCTAGCCGTGCCGAAGCCATGGAAGAGAAATATGGAGCTCCTGTGTAACTTGACCCAGGTCAATACGACTTGTACGTACTCGCGTTGGAGTGGGCATACTCTAGTGATCCTCCAATAACGGCAACCCGTCCATGCTGGCCTGTGCTTACTTTTAATATAGAGTTCTTATGCTATGATACGATAACATGGATCGCCAACTGTGGAATAAGGAAGACAAACCTTTGTGGAATTTCTCCAGCATAGGTGGCACAATCTTGCGTGCCTTACTGAAGAGAATCTTAGGTGAAGTGGTTATATGATGAACCTCCATGGTGGATTATGTTACAAAAGCTTGCTAATCAATTGAAAAGAGTCAACACATGGAGCAACAGAGAGGATGTTGATCATAGAGAGAAGAGTAAGAGAGCAAGAGGTGAGGTGCAAGAGAAGAAGCAAGCACTAAGAGGACTATGGCCTGTGATGTCACCGCCTACTAAGTGGGGCTGATCCGGACGATAAGAATCCTGTCCATGGATTTCAATTCCCATAGAATTTCAAATAAACATAACATGTAAGAATGACGCCTCTCTCCACCTAGTAAACAGGACGCAAACACCGGGTAGGGCTATTCCAATGGAAGAGGGAAAAGATAACACTAAGAAGAGCAGCGTTGCCGCCCTATCTATCAACACCATAACGCTCGCTAATGCACAGAAAACATATCATAAACAGAAGTTGCCCTGAAAGAGAAGAGAAAGTAAGAAGGGGAAAAAGAAGAGATGTCATATGTAATGCACCCTCGGGTATTTCTCGCTGATGCTCCGTTCCAAGCCAAAAGAAAAATGTGCCGAAGAAGTTTAACAAAAATTACTGACAAAGAAAAAGCGAAATGAAGGGAAAAGACTGCTTTGTGGCCTCAGCGTCTTCGGGATGCCAGTGTAGAGAGCTTCCTCTGGCGCTCCAGCTTCGCTTGCTTGGCTGCAAGCTCCGCGCGCCATTCTTCTTCATCCTCTTTCCTTGCAAATGCCAATGCGGCTGCTTCTTCCTCCTCCACATCGTTGAATCCGCCTTCCATATCCGACGATGCATCTGAGTAGTAGTCGTCGTAGTCGTCCGCATAATCTCCCTCGTCTTCCTCATCTGTTCCAAGATATTCGTCCATCCTAGATCGTTTGCTCGCTCGAGCTTGCGCCTTCCGGTCGTTTGGATTGCTTCGAGCGGGTAGGCCAGCCGTACCTCTGTATTCCGGTGCCGCAGACGGTGTTGGCCTTGCTGTACCCTTGTACGACAGCTCTTCAGGCTCCCGCTTCCTAGCAGGTTTTCCATCACCGGCTTTGCTACCTGTTGCTGGACCAGACGTAATACCGAGTTTTTTTGCCGGTCGTGCATCTTTTTCCTTCGCCTGTGCTTCCATTGCTCGTTTCTTGCGTTCCATCTTGCTAAGCTTCTCTTTAGTTACAGCCTGATGCTTGAACATGCCCGCTTGCGTTGGGGCTTTCTGCTGCAGTTCCTTTGCTTTTGCCATTATCTCCGCAAACGATCCCTTCGGGGGAGGCTTTGAAGACACCGGAGCTGCTCTCTGTGATGCCGATGACGTTGATATACTGCTCTTTACGGCAGGCCTCGCAGCCGATGTAGTGGTAGAACGGGGCTTAGGAGCCGCAGTCGCAGCCATTGGTCTAGAAAGTGGTTGTTTGCTAGATATCTGGGTAAGAGGCTTTTGAGGACGTTGCAGCAGCTCCTCGGCCTTGCGTTTCGTACCTGCAGCATTATTTGTCCGCTCAGCGACATCGCGAGGGGTCGTGCTGGGCCTGCGAGCCTCTGACTTGGCAGTTGAGGAGGATACGGGCGCTGATTGTGTGGTAGTGACTGGCGGTAGGGGAGACGGTTTGCCCGTCTCGATAGATGAAAGAACGGAATCGAGGAACTGCCTCATAATCAGCGAAACATCACCAGAATAACAGGATTAGGCGCTCCTACACTCATCTTGGCGCCTAAAGCAGATATAAATACGCAGGTCTCAGTAGCAGGGAAAAAGTGATGAGGGCAGATTCACCGTCGGTGGTTAGTGTGACGGATTAACTTCATGACTTCTTCTGAGGCAGAACCTGAAGTTTTAAAGCTCGAGACTTCGAGAACAGCCGTCTTCTCACCCTAGCTCAACCAAAGGGGCTGGGTTGAATCAAAGACGACGCTGAAGCCCTGAGATACACAGAGAATAGACTGACGATGTCGTTAGGACGAGAGCGCCGGCAGTTTAAATAAGTTACAGCGAGTCGCCATCCTGTCTTCTAGAAGCGACTGGTCACGTGACTGACCAAGTCATCCGGATGGCTCCCTTAGTAAGAATGCTACCCTGCAAGCATGCATGCGCCACAGGCTCGCTTAGAGGGAGCCTGGGCCACGAGCCACAACCACCAGCCGCAGCGCACTTTTCTTGCGATTTTGGCGATCCGAACCTTCGACTTTCCTCCATCCACATCGCTAACCCTCAGCGAACTCGACGTTTCAGTCTCCGCCCAATTTGCGGTTAAATCGATTGATTCTCGTGTTCACATATTAAAACAAATCTGTATGTTTTATAACCTGCAGCATCGCGCTGCGCTGTCGATGATCTTGTACCCGGCGAAAGTTCATTTCTGACAAGTTACTCCTGTACAGATCCAAAATGAAGCACCTTGCCGCTTACCTCCTCATTGCCCTGGCTGGCAACGCCACCCCCTCCGCTGAGGACATCAAGAGCGTTCTCTCTTCCGTCGGCATTGACGCCGATGAGGAGCGCCTCCAGAAGCTCATCTCCGAGCTCGAGGGCAAGGACCTCCAGCAGGTTCGTAATACGTTGGGTGATTGAGACCTACAGGGCGCGTACTGACCATCTACTCACTACAGCTGATCTCTGAGGGTGCCGAGAAGCTCGCTACCGTTCCCTCCGGTGGTGCTGGTGCCGCTGCCCCTGCTGGTGCCGCTGCCGCTGCCGGTGGTGACGCCCCTGCCGCTGAGGAGAAGGAGGAAGAGAAGGAGGAGTCCGATGACGACATGGGATTCGGTCTCTTCGACTAAGCGTCTTCACTCGTGCGAGTGTCGAAAAATATGTGATATCTCGTGGGGGAACAGAAATCTGGCAGTCATTCGCAGTATTGGGAGGAAAATGGCCCATTTCGGTCAAGTCTGTTTGTGCCAGGCTTCTGATGCAGTTACGAATTATGCATATGTGAGCTGAAAAGGCTCCTTGATAGCCAATACAGATTATCTGACCTCCACGAACTATTCCACATCACGTAAATGCGCGTAAGCCGCCTATCTGTCTATCTGGTATCCATTATGGGGCGCGAAATTGTATTACGCTGCATTAATTACATATCAGAAACCTAGGCACTTGTAAGCCCCAGTTAATCAGAGCCATAAAACGTCTAGTTAAACAGCCAATGATAACGGCCATAATCTCCAATATCCATTTAAATTTCCCGATCGGGAAGTATAATGTAGGGCTAGTGGCATATAACCCTACAGCCAGGAATCCACAACGGGTCTAGTTTCTAGGTTTACAACCCTAGCCGTCGCTTAGACGAATCTCAGCCCACCTCCCAACCGCAGCGTCGAGCACAAGATTTGGCCCGACGAACGTTTATCAGCGACACGACACGACAACCCACTGTCCCTTCGCTTTTCGAGTGCTGTTCGAAAAGCGACCTTGAGAGGAACACCCGCAAAAATGGCTGACACCGAATACGTGAGTGCATATCCGTCTGGCATGAGTAATCTTACTTGAAAGACTTTTATACTAACGTGTATCTGTATTAGAACGCTGAGGAGGCTGCCGGTACGTTGTCGAGTGAACCCTTTCCCTTCCCTTTTACGCGATAGAGACATGCAAGCCGTTGTGTGGGATTCGTTTACGATGGGGCGTACGGATGGTTGGATATAAATGGATGAGATTTGGAGTGAAGGGGGCGAAAATGAATCCGGCGAACGCGATGCAACGGGAAATCACCGAGGAATGAATCGAGCAAGGCGCTGACTGGTTATCGGTTTACAGCTATCAAGGCCAAGAGAACCTTCCGCAAGTTTTCCTACCGCGGTATTGACCTCGACCAGTATGTGACAACTTGAAGGAACCCCGGTACCACCTACTCCCGACTCCGAATGAGCGATATGACCGATGGCATCTAAGATACGATTGTTTATCCTCGTGGGAGTCGGGCGTAACGGATGGAAATGTTTGCAAAGGCGCCGTTTCTGACATGGACGTATCACAGGCTCCTCGACCTCTCTTCCGAACAGCTCCGCGATGTCGTGCACGCCCGCGCTCGCCGTAGGTTCAACCGTGGCCTGAAGCGCAAGCCCATGGGCCTCATCAAGAAGCTCCGCAAGGCCAAGCAGGAGGCTAAGCCCAACGAGAAGCCCGACCTCGTTAAGACTCACCTCCGTGACATGATTATCGTCCCCGAGATGATCGGCTCCGTTGTCGGTATCTACTCCGGTAAGGAGTTCAACCAGATCGAAGTCAAGCCCGAGATGGTTGGCCACTACCTTGGAGAATTCTCCATCTCCTAGTACGTTACGCATCCGTTTCATATTCTTTGTGCGAAGGATCATAGTCTAACAACCACACAGCAAGCCCGTCAAGCACGGTCGTCCCGGTATCGGTGCCACCCACTCTTCTCGTTTCATTCCCCTCAAGTAAAGAAGAAAAGCTTTCTGGAGTGTCGCGTGGAGGATTGGGCGTCCGGTTGTGTTGGGAGAAGAAATCAAAAGCGATGGATACCATTTGTGCCTATTTGGGTTCATCCAACTTGTATGTCAAGTGCGGGTCAGCTGTTTGCATCTCAATATAAAGGTCTTGTCGGCATGTGAACGAACCACGGATTCCTACTCCCATGGCGAGGAGATCTTCAGTCCTTAGCCCCAAGGGGACGAGGCAAGACCACCTGTTCCCTTCCCTACTTATCTAGGGGACGGGGTCTAATTTAACGATTTCTTTTTCTTTCACATAAATTGTCATCACTCGTATTTCGTACAGTTTCCTTCGCTAAGTCTCGGCCGTCGTAGCCCTGGTGCCTTGGATGCATTTGGCCTATATATCGTTGACATTTTGACATATGTCTATTTGCTAAGCGTTCCATTAAGCCTACGCAATGTCTGCATTTAATGCAAGCTGCGCTTGGACCCCATCCTCATGCCGGCACCCAAGTTACCAAGCTAATGCCGGGGCAAACTGGTCCCCAAGCTAAAGGCACAGAATCCCCACGAGAAAGCCGATCCACATTAACATTCCTTCTCAAGCACCGTATCGACAAGCAGTTCAATCTTCTCCCACTCCTTCCGTATATCATCTCCCCTGTCCTTCGGTTCCTTACCCCCCTCAAAGCGTTCATTCACATGGTTAAATAATAACCTGACAATCCCCTTAAAGCTCGGCACCGTACAGGCCTCATCCTCCAGCTCCACAAGCCGACTCAAAACAGACCAAGCAAGCAGCGTAGGCTCCGTTTCCATATCCACCAACCTAAGCAAACTAGCATCCCCATGCGCTCCATCATCCAGGAAAATCGCCACCCTTGCCAGCACATACGCATGCAACTGACGAACAGGATGCCGCACATCCTCATAAACAACGGGATCAATACGAAGATACCGCACAGCAGCCTGAACAAATCCAGAACTGAAATCCTGGTCTGCCAGCAGCGAGGCAATCAACTCATCTCTCAACGAGACGAGAGGCTGCTCAGTAACGGGCCAAGGGCCAATATGTCGTAGGCGTTTAATGGATGATTGGAATCTCTCGGCCGTTTTCTTGGGGTCAGTTTCCACGGCCGAGGAGCATTCGTTCAGAAGCTCGTAGATTTCTGTTTCTGCGCTTTCTATGGCGGACTGGTCATATCGTGATTCTGGACCCAGGAAGCTATGTTCTGGCACTGCGAGGTCTTTTTCGCATTTGGCGCATTGGCAGTCGAAGTAGTATCGCTCGCGGAGTTCGGAGCGGCGGAGTTTGACTGGGTTTGTGGCGTCGACGTAGGAGATGAAGATTTGTTCGCCTTCTTGGATGGGGCGGGTGGCTTTGATGTATAGGTTGTCGCCGTCGAAGCTGACGGCGACGTTGTAGTTGCAGCTGTGGTTGATGAGAGCGGCGTAGGGGTGTAGATAGAGGCCCATGCGGTCGGAGAGGATGCTGGCGAGGTTGAAAGAGTTCAGTTCCAGCTTGGTTGGTAAGTCAGTAACAGCTTGGGAATAGGGGCGCCGAGAGCTTGGGCTGAGATGGCTTGCTCACTTTGGCGCCGAAGGAAGATATCGTTTCTTCCTTCATGTCTGTTCCGGAGTAAGCCTTGACGGCCTTTGAAGACAAGGCGATACGCTCCCATTGCTCGGGGCTCTGGTCACGGATTTCTGAGATGTGAGTCTCGAGTTGGGAGAAGAGTTCTAGTTCCTCGTCGGTGTATTTTTGACGCTCCGTGCGCACGATCATCCGTAAAAGAGCTCGAGCATTGCTCGGCAAAATGCGAGGGTTTAAATTCTTAAAGATTGCGCATTCGTGAGCATGAGCAAACTTCCAATCCTTCCTTTGGCATTCCTGGTATGTATGTCAGTGACCGGTGTTGATGGATTGATATGTAGCTTGGAGTACAGACCTTGTCACAATACTTCACCACTTTGCATCCAGTACAGTTTTTCAAAGAACCACTGTGGTGCAAGGGTTTGCTCCCAAAGCATGCTGAACATGTGTCACTCAGTCGCGGTGTCTCTAACACAGCTACAAAAGGGCTGGTAATATTCAAAACATCTTCTCCAGTTTTGATGGTAGTTGAAGCAAAAAGACCTCTTCCCAAACCACCGGGTGCTGGACCTGGTGTAGCTTTAGCGTATACGGAAGGGAGAAGGGTTTCTAGAGACATGATATTCTAGGCTCATTCAGCAATAATCTGGGAGATAGTCCACCAAGTTGCTATAGTATATACTTGTCTCCTTTGGACCCATACCAGATTGAGATAGTAGACACAGCTAAAGGATTAACACACTTGGGCAATCCCGCGATGCTTAGTCAGTTCAGGTAAAGGGTTGCTGAACGACTCCCCAAATAGGACAATACAATAAGACTACTGAGAAGACATGGTACAGAGGAGAGAGGTATTGATCAAATATTCCAGAAATACTATACACAAGTGAATCATGACGATCAATTCAAAACAGGCCCACGAGATGCTTTTCTCGCTCAAGCATCAAGCCTGCCTACTGGGAGGAATCATAAATGGGTAACAATAACAAAGAGAAACAAGAAGTTCCACCGAAGTACATGAGCATGGCCGCCTTTCCCGCCAAAGACGGCCCTTGTCAAGGCCAAATAAAAAGTCTATCAATGTAGAGTAGAGCCTTCTCCACTACGCCAAACCAGACGGTTATTCCGTGCCTTGAAAAAAAATAACAACATCAGGTGATTATTAAGTTGACAAAAACTTTTGTTATAGGATCGCCATGCTGATTTACAGAAGCTTGCCGCCGGCGAACTCAGACCAGCTGCGGACCTCAGAAGGAATACCCTCAGCACGGGGCAGCTTCTCGCTCATGGCCTGGGCAAAGAGGAGAGCAGTCTGCAAAGGAACATAATTAGCATCGATGAAAAGCAGGCAAAGACATCGTGTGTTTAACATACCTTGGTCTCCATAAACAGAGGAACACCGAAGTCAACAGTGTTACGTCTCATGACGTAGTCCTCATCAAGCAGGGTCTTGCCACGGGTCTTAGCAAGGTTAAAGGTACCACGGATGTTATACTTCTCGAAGACCTCGCGCAGTGCACGCTTGTCTTTCTTAGGGAACTCGATCGCCTGCACGGAAACATCTTCCTTGGCAGTGGATTCGATGTGATCCTTAACAGCGGGGCTAGCGGCAAAGAACTTGTAGCCCAATGGCTGAAGATATTCAACAATCTTGGCCAAAGCAGGGTTATTGATGTCACCACCAAGAAGGATACCCTCGCCGGGCTCAGGGACACGGAAGTTCATGGTGGACTGGAGGGATGCCCAGTAGGCGTCAACCAAGTCCTTACCGAAACAAGCAATCTCACCAGTACTGGACATCTCAACGCCAAGGAAGGGGTCAGCACCAGCAAGACGAGTCCAGCTGAACTGAGGGACCTTAGTGGCAACGTAGTCACGCTTCTCTGACATGAGGTCTACAGGCTCAGGAACGTCACGGCCAACAAGGGCCTTGGTGGCAGTATCAATGAAGTTGGTGCCCAGAACCTTGCTAACGAAGGGGAAGGAACGGGAAGCACGCAGGTTGCACTCAATAACCTTCAACTCAGGCTGGGCACCTTCCTGGTCGGCCTTGATAATCTGCATGTTGAAAGGACCAGTGATGTTCCAGGCCTTAGCAACCTTCTCAGCAATCTCCTTGACGCGGCCCATGACCGACTCATCGAGATAGGCGGGGGGAAGAACAAGAGTGGCATCACCAGAGTGAACACCAGCTGGCTCAACGTGCTCACTGACGGCATGCAACAGGAGCTTACCATTCGAAGCGACGGCATCGACATCGATTTCCTGGGCGCCTTCGATGAACTTGGTGATGACGACAGGGTGGTCAGGGGAAACAGCACTAGCATTAAGAAGCTTCTCCTTGAGCTCATCCTGGCTATAGATGACGTTCATGGCAGCACCAGACAGGACATAACTGGGGCGAACCAGGACAGGGTAGCCAACAGACTCGGCGAAACGCTCTGCCTCAGCAACCGAGGTGAGTTCCTTCCAGGCAGGCTGGTCGACACCAATGCTATCCAGGATCGAAGAGAACTTGTGACGGTCCTCAGCCTTGTCAATATCAACAGGGTCAGTACCAAGAACGTGGGCGCCACCGGTCTCCTGCAGGCGAAGGGCAATGTTCTGTGGCAGCTGGCCACCGACAGACACAACGACGCCGCTGGCAGTCTCAAGTTCGTAGATATCCATGACACGCTCGTAGCTGAGTTCTTCGAAGTAGAGCTTGTCAGCAGTGTCGAAATCGGTAGAGTAGGTCTCAGGGTTGTAGTTGATCATAACGGTCTTCTTGCCCATGTTCCTGAGAGAAAGGGTGGCGTTAACTGCACACCAGTCGAACTCGACAGAGCTTCCAATACGGTAGACACCGCTTCCCAGGATGATAATACCATGGTCATCGAAAGTGACATCATGGGAAGTAGCGTTATAGGTAGTGTATAGGTAGTTAGTGTCTGCAGGGAACTCAGCAGCAAGAGTATCGATCTTCTTGACCCATGGGGTGATACCGAAGCTCTTTCTGCGAGCACGGACATCGTCCTCGGATGCTCCGACAAGGAGGGAGATCTGCTTGTCAGAGAAACCAAGCTTCTTCGCTTTGAGCATGGTCTCCTTCTGGATTCCGAAGAGGCTGCCAATTTCCTTAATCTCATTCTGGCAGTCAACGAGGTTCTGAAGCTTGTAAAGGAACCACTTGTCAATCTTGCTCAGTTCATGAACCTTATCCACCGAGTAGTTCTCGTGGAGCATAGCCTGGCCGACAGCCAACCAACGGCGATCGGTAGGGTTCTGCAAGACTTCGTCCAAGTTTTCGAACTTGTCACCCTGGAAACCAAGGAATTGAGGGTCAACTTGACGGATAGCCTTCTGGAAAGATTCTTCGAAAGTACGACCAATGGCCATGACCTCACCGACCGACTTCATAGCGCTTCCAATATCCCGGTTGACATGCTGGAACTTGCTTAAGTCCCACCGGGGGATCTTGGTAACAATGTAATCCAAGCTAGGCTCGAAGTTCGCGGTGGTAGTCTTCGTCACAGCATTGGGAAGCTCGGGCAGAGTATGGCCCAGTCCGATCTTCGCAGCGGTGTAGGCAAGAGGGTAACCGGTAGCCTTAGATGCCAGGGCGGAAGAACGCGAGAGACGAGCGTTGACCTCGATCACACGGTAGTCCAAGCCATCGGGTTGCAAGGCATACTGCACGTTACATTCACCAACAACACCCAAGTGGCGGACGATCTTAATGGCAGCCGTACGAAGCATGTGGTACTCCTCATCGGACAAAGTCTGACTGGGAGCAACGACAATACTATCACCAGTATGGATACCCAGGGGGTCAAAGTTCTCCATGTTGCAAACGGTGATACAGTTGTTGTCAGCATCACGTACAACTTCATACTCAACCTCCTTCCAGCCTCGGAGGGACTTCTCGACCAAAATCTGAGGAGCAAGGGTCAAAGAGCGGGATGCCAGGTTCCTCAATTCTTCGGCGTTGTTGGCAAATCCAGAACCCAAACCACCAAGAGCATATGCGGAACGGACGATAATGGGGTATCCAACTTCCTCGGCGGCCTTCAAGGCCTCGTCAACAGTGTTGACAGCAATAGACTCGGCAATAGGAATGTTGATCTCGTTCAGTGCCTTGGCGAAAAGATCACGGTCCTCGCTAGTCTCCAGAGTCTTGATGCTCGTTCCCAGAACTCTCACGCCATAGCGTTCGAAGATACCCATGCGGTTCATCTGCACACCCAGGTTCAGAGCGGTCTGTCCACCGAAGGAAAGGAAGATAGCGTCCGGCCTTTCCCTCTCAATGACGTATGTGACATATTCAGGAGTAACTGGAAGGTAGTAAACTTCATCTGCGAGCTTGTGATCGGTTTGGATCGTTGCGATATTAGGGTTGATCAAAACGGACTCCACTCCAGCTTCCTTAAGAGCCTTCAGAGCCTGGGAGCCTATAATATTCGAAAACCAACATCAGTTACCGTTAGTAAGGCACAACATTCCAACCATTTGATACAATCCCCTCGTGCCAAGGTTCAATAGTTACTTGCACGAATGCAGAGATTGTTCAATTGGTACAATGAATAGATGACAGTCGAGGCCGTTTTGGATAATACATATATACTGGACTCTATGACTTACCGGAATAGTCAAACTCTCCAGCCTGTCCGATACTCAGACCACCGCTACCGATCACAAGGACCTTCTTCACATCGACCAGATTGCGACCTGGCTTTACGATGCCACTGGCAAGGTAGCTTTCAGCAGAGGGAGCATTTGTCGACTCCGACGCCAGGCGGCTAATAGCACTAGAGAAGGAGCGAAGCTGCTGTGGCCTCCATGGCGAAGGGGTCTTCTGCTGCAACCGCAGACTCGATGCCGCCGAATGGGCCGTAGTTTGGGAGGAAAATGGGCGCAGAGCAAGTGTGGATCGGCGAGATTCAGCCAGGCAACGCTGACGCAGAAGGGAGGCCGTGGCCTGCCCGCAACGAGTAGAGAGAACCATTGCGCACAGTATGGGAAGGGAAAGGGGGATCTCTAAGGGTCAATTCCCGGAAATATCCAAGGAAGACGATGTATGGACTCTACTGCCGTTGGGCTGTATGAGTCTGCCTTTTTGGCACCCTGTTATCCCACTTTATGCCACACACCCAGTCGACAGGGGAGGACTAAAGAAAGAACGGGATGAATGGCCAGGGAGTTGGGGAGAAAATGGAGTAGTCAGAGGGGAAGAAGATAAAGAAAGGAAGGAGGGAGGAAAAAAAAGGTTAAAAAGGTCTTGGTAGGGCGATGAGTCAATGCACTACAGTGAGCACTTCTGGAGACACCAGAAACCAGGATAGACGACATGGAACCCCCGAAAACGCGAAAATGCCCCAACCTCCAGGCCGATAAGAGCTCCGGTGTGCGGAGCCATCAGCTTTTTTTGTCTTTTTTCTCTGTTTCTTTTCCCTATCGGGTTGCAGAAGAGTCACCGCCTGATACTGCCGCCAATCAGCGGTCTATCCTAGGGCTGCGGTAAGTGCAGGAGATCATAAAGACCAGAGCTGCAAAAGACACTAGACACTCTAGTTCCTGGCGGCGCTAACTCCTTTCCGCCTAGTTGTATGAGTCAATGGCCTACTATGGAGAACCGGGTATGGGGACTCTGGATCTTGAATAATGATAACTCATAATGCCGTCTGAGATATTGGAGATTATAATTTATCATGACCCATTGGGATTGATCGTCACCATCAATGGCATGGTTGACCAGCCAAATCCTCCCCTCAATGGCTCTGAAAACCATGGTGAATGGCTGCAAATCCTCGCACAAAAAATTTTTGACTAAATTGCAGATCAGCCCTCTTTGCAGGATTCTATCAGTTGAATGGTGTCTCCGCTACTCCGTACAGGGCGCTCGCTACCGCGCTAATGGCAGCTAAGCACGGGAACACCGGCATTCGGAGTCCCCACGTTATCTCCTGGAACCAATGTTGGCATACATTGCCAAAAGTCCATCCCTGCAATTATTTCCTATCGAATCATGATTTCTTGACAAGATCAGATGTACTTTCTTAGTTCAGGGTTGCGACTAGCTTATTCCATCTAATGCCTCTATCATTCTATAGCTCCTATTTGTCCGTCAAGCTTAGACCATGGTCCTTTAGCCCTTGGTCTCGCGCGCGACTTGGATGGCTCTGCCTCATCTTGATCTACCTTGTTCCGCAAAACCCCCTCTTGATCCTGGTTCAATATATCGTAGACTTCTTGCAAAACCTGCTCCGCTTCTTGGGCGGTTTCGATGCCTTCGTCCAGGTTGCGTTCCACATTTTCCCGTTCACTCGTCCCTGCCGCTTCCGATGCAAAGGCCCATGCTTCAGCTAGTGCAACAACCTCATCTGGTTTAACTGGCTCCACTGGCATACTAGCATGGCGGGCGTTTACAGCCGCAGCCGCATGTTTAAATCGTGGCTGTCGAGCAAGCATAGGGTATTCCGGAAGAAGGTGACTTTCATCACTCAGCCGATTAAGGATGCGCAGAGTCGTGGATTTTTCTTTTGCGAGAGTTCCGGTCAGGTAGAATTTCTGTAGAGCTAGCGCCCGTTGGCATTTTGAAAGTGGGAGGAGTTGTTCATCAGCGAAAGATAGGACATCCACTGTCTCTAACGTTGGCGTTTCCTCGGGAGTAGGTTTTCGTTTCTCGGTAGGGCGACTTTCAGGTGTCGCAGAGCTGGTACCAATGGGTTGGCACGCCCTAGAGGCTGCATCAAGGAGACGCTTGCGAGCATCAACGTAGGCGGCATATTGTTCTGCGATCTGTGCTTTCTGGTCTTCCAGCAAACGGGCCGACTTCTCGATTTCCTCGGGAGGCAACTCCTGCACAGGGTCATCCTCATTATTCCCAACACTCACCAGCTTTTCCTCGACCCATTGTACCAAGACATCTCGGGTTTGCTGTAGTGCAGTGGCCTTCGCGCCAGAGGCAATACCATCATTGTCAGAACCATCCTCGGCCTCGTGCTGCGCCTTCAGCTCCTCGAGTAGCTTCTTTTCTCTCTCTAGCTGATTTCTCGCGCGTACCACGGCCCTTTCAAGATTATGCATCAAGCCCTCAATTCCATCCTCGGAGGTGCAACCATTTTGACCCTCGTCCAAATCTGGCGGCGGGGCGGACTGTTGGCTGCGATAAACTACGCTATCGAAGTCCTCCGGTTTCATTATATCTCGTTTCTTTAGCTCTTCCAGATAATGCTGAAAAACTTGGAGCTTCGCAAGTCGGCGACGGTCACGGAGCAGTTCAAGATAAGCTTGGAGTTCTGGGTTGGGATCAACGGGATGTGTGTCGATGCCACCATTAGGTTGACCCTGTGGCTTCCTGGAAGTATACCTCTCGGATACCAAACGGTACTCCTTTCTTGCATTCACATTTGCCTGCAATGCTTGTAGGTATTCCTTTCTTAATCCCGTCAATTCTGACGGAATACGCTTCACATCGACAACAGCATCTTGAGGTACGCATAACGAGAGGTGAGATCGGGCATGGATATTTGGATAATCTGGATTATCATCGGCAAATGTAATTTGTGATCGGAGGTAGGAGGTTAGGACTTGTCGGATGCGTAGGGCTTCCTGGCGACTTTTGATGTAAGGAGCAAGCGGCTTTGCGAAGGCCGGAATGTGCGCAGGGATAGCGGAGTCGTCATTAGGATGGGCCATGAATGGGAGTAGGTACTATGGGCGGTGGAGGTCCAGCGCCGAATCTGAAACGTCGAGGTGGAACTAAATTCCTGTTGACAGTCCTCTGAATCCTGATATGATATCTAATAACTACCCCGGATTCAAGTTTGTTTCTCTTGTTTGTTTGATGATCCCCCTCGGCATTAGGTAAGCCAATGCCCATGGCTCAGGGATTCACGTGATTGGTGGCCAAGGTTTCGGGTGTTTGCTGTATACAGAATGACAGTACACATTCGTATAAACTTATTAAATTTGTATGGGGTCGGTGTGGAGCGATACGGCGTGAGGCGAATTATTCTAAATTAAGAAGCCTTCTCGCCTCGTAGATGTGCGGTTGGTTTCAACATGCTCAAGAAAGGAAAAGGCAAACAAAAAATATATACATCAATGGATTTGAGAATCACCAACTTTGGTTGTCTAATATTAGCAGTAAGGCCATACTCACTAAAATAGACACCGGCACCACTGTGCCCCTCTTCTATGTACGTACTCAGCAGATACTTGATCGTAAACAAAGGTTACGCTCCATATTAGTGGGTTTTGGCAACCAACCAAAAGCAATAATATGATGGTTCGGATCTTCGGGCAACGGTTTCAAGGGATCCTTCGTCCTTGTCATTTCATTGTTTAGTGCCAATGAGTGATTAAGTAAAGCTTCGGTTCCGGAGGAGAATTATAGAATCCTAACTCTTACACGAACTTCTTCCATCGTCAGACAGGCAGAAAACATTGCCAGAGCTCGATCATGTTACATTGTTGATAGGTCTCATGCATGCACACTGTTACTAAGGTATTTGGCTGGGAATTTGTTCTTCTGCAGTTTTAAGAGTGGTTTTGGGGTTTGGTATGCTTTGACCCTTTGGAATCTCAATCAAGGGGGGAGGGGATTTCTCTTGTCGTCAACTTTCCTATATAGTCAGTCTACTTGCTCTTTTCTTCTCGGACGGTAATATCCACCCCTTCGCTTCTACTTGAACGAATTCATCATTCAACTTTCTTGTCCTCTTTCTACCCCTTCCAATTCCGTGATCCATCATAATCCTTTGAAGAATGGCACCAGACTTGGCCTCCGTGTCCATTTCTACTCCAAGATCACGGCCCCGAGCTGCAACAGCGATACAACCAGCCACTATGCCGCCAGCCATCTCTTCTCGACGCCCGTCGCAAGTAATGAATCCTCCTGCTCTCCCACTTGCGCCGGTTGTATATACAGGGAGTTCTGGGCCTGGAGGCAATGATCATGGTAGCGTGAGATCGGCTTCCGGTAAGCTGCCACTTTTCTCTTTAGATTGGAACACCCCAGCTGAACTACATCAAGGCCCACTGAGACATCCAAAGCCTCTTACGCCGTCCGACATCCACTCAATGCTTGAACAAGAACAAGAAGCAATGGTATTTATTTTTCGCAGCCCATGACGTCGCAGATCCGTACTGATTTGAGCTCAAAGGTTAATCGTCTATCAAGAGAGCTGTCCCTCTTACGACAACAAACAGCCTCTGTAGCATCGACAACTTCCTCAACATCTACCACCCTCAATGACCCGTTAGATACCCTACAGGCTTCCTCTTACTTATCTTCCTCAGTGCATTCCACTGCATCACGGCGCCACCGATCCTCATCAAGTCTGAGCTCCTCATACATCCCAGCCGTCCTGGGCTCAAGAGCAGGAAGCGGTGCTGCGATCACTCCATCGCGAGAAGTTCCTTTATCGTCTTCTCGTCCGGGTCGGAGTCGAGAGCCGTCGTTTACCTCTTCACGACAGTCAGAAGGAACGCTTCCACTATCTCCTGCATCAGCACAGCAATCACAAGGTGACCAATTCTCGAATTATGTCTCCGGACAGCACCCGTACCCCCATCGTAACTCGCTCTCTCAACAACGGTCACGAACTACTTCTATATCCCGCCCGGATGAGATAGCACGGCAACGAGGGGAATTGGAGATACTCAAACGGGAAAACGAAGGACTCCGGCGGCGTGTTCGAGATCTCGAGCTCGTTCTTCGAAAACATCGCGAACGGGAGCCGGATGCGACAGCTCAAGTAGCATCCGGATCCATTGCGGCTATTACAGATGAATTGGATAAAACTTCTGTAACAACAGTGGATGGTACCAACTGAGCCAGCGGAGAGACCTTGCTATTGTTGAGTGATTATCTGTTTAGTTAGGGACGAGGGTCCTAGATGGATCCAGGAGCAGGTAATGGCTTTCGATAAGTGCTTAGTCTACTTGCTTTCGCTCGCATTCTTACCCTTTCCTTCTACCCAAATTGCTATTACCCGCCGACCCGCTATTCAAAAATAGCCATACTATTTTTTCTTTCAACGGAAAATACTTCTGCCTTCTAGCACCAGCCATCCACATCATAGTTACTCGCCGTCACATGTTGATGACGACTCCCCACTGTGGCTGTGCAACCTGCCCCTCTCCCACACGTCATCTGTGGCTCGACTGGATCGCCAAAATAAATACTCCTGAATTGATCTCCCCTGGGCAACTATTTCATACCTCTCCATTTTTTCAATTGTGCCTCTATTGATACACCGATCCTGATATATCTTCCACCTAAAGTCACATCCCATCGTCACCATGTCTGAACGCAGCACAGTCCATGTCTCGGGCATCGCGCCCAACACTTCCGAGAAGGAAGTCCAGGACTTCTTTAGCTTCTGGTAAGAATGCACTCCTTATATCTCCAGGCCTTGGACGCGACTGACCACTGTATAGTGGCAAGATTACCTCCATCTCCGTGACCCCCGTCTCTGGTGAGCCAGATGCTCCCAAGTCTGCCACAGTGACTTTTGAGAAGGAAGCGTAAGTTTTACCCCGCACTAGATCGTCGACACTTATAGCCCGCCTATGCAAGCTTCGAAAGACGACCTTGAATGAAATACACTGACGATGACTTTAGAGCTGCCAAGACTGCCTTGCTTCTGGATCAGACACAGCTGGGAGGTTCTGCAGTGCACGTCCAGGCTGCCCAGACTCTCGACGACATCGCCGGTTCCCAGGCAGCTAGTGCAGGAGAGGCTAGGGACGAGAACCACCATGAAATCGCGCAGGAAGACAAGCCCAAGTCCCGAATTTTCGCCGAGTACCTTGCTCACGGCTATGTATTGAGCGACAACGCGATCCAGAAGGCTATTACCCTCGACCAGAAGCACGGTTTCTCTAGCCGCTTCACTTCGGCTCTGACCAACTTTGATCAGAAGTACAAAGCCACGGACCGCGCCAGAGGAATTGATGAAAGCTACAAGCTGAGTGACAAGGCTGCCACTGGTTGGCACGGTCTCCACTCATACTTCGAAAAAGCTCTTGGTACACCATCGGGTCGAAAGCTTCGCGATTTCTATGCCCAGACCGATAAACAGGTGCGGGACATCCACACCGAGGCCAGGCGCTTGGCAGACCTGAAGAGTGGTAAGAGCACTCATGAGGGTGAGACCCCGGCTGCCGGCGGTGCAGAGGCCTCCGGTGCCGTTCCCGTAGCTGCTGCCCCTGCGGCTCCTGCGGCCCCTGCCGAACCTGCTCCTGTGGCGAACCAGCCCGCTGGAACCGCGGCTCCCGCCGAACCTAAGGCTTAATGAATTATGATGTACTGAAATCAAACTGGGATGCTTTCTGATTTGTTCTGCCGCTGTCTCCTGTATTCTGGTGCGCATTTTTGAACAGGCTGTCTGGAACAGGCTTTTGTCAAATAGCTACTATTCTAATCAGTTATTCTTCGAATACCACTGTGCTTAGTACCCAACTGCAGAATACCAATGCAATGGTCTACACAAATAACGATTCATACAAGACTTACAAATCACAGAAAAAGTAGACATGGTACAGATTAAACATATGTGACCGAAGTGCAATGAATTGAGTACCTTACGCACACTTACAATGGAACCAGACTTAAGAAGCTTTCTTAAAAAAAACTGCACACATAGCCACATGGAGAAAAGATAAAAAAGGAAGAAAGTAAAGAAACAAGTCTTTCTAACCCAGTTATTCAATATATTCACTGTAAAAGTAACCCAAACATGAAATTTACATATATGTAACCCACATTACACATGACAAACCCATTCACAATGAAAGGTCAACCAGTCCATTAATTCCCCGGTCCCTTCGAAAACTTCTTCGCCTCAATATCCTCCAAAATATGTTTTGGGTTGCTACTGAGTCCATGGAACTTAGTGTCCTCGGAGGCTCCCTTCGAACCACCATGGATACCATGCTGGGTGTGTCCCGAAGCAACGGGGTCCTGTTGCTGGGCGCCAGTTTGGCGCTCGGGGGGAGGAGACTGACGGCCGGAGTTGGGGGCGGACATTTTTTGATGTTCGAGTGTACAAAAATAGAGGGAGTTATGTGGAGGTATTCTGCGAAGGTTATAGGGTTAGATTTTGCAGGCATTTAGGATGGAAAGGGGTTGCATACTGTGCCTGGATTTTGAATTCTTTGGTCGGTAGGATGAATCGGGGGGATTTGTTGGCTGGAAGGACAGAACTGGGAGGTGAGAATTTGGTGTTTAAGTAACTGTCTTTAGGACCTGGGCTCCATGATGCCATAGTTGTATCATCATCATGACGTCTGTCTGGTGGTATCTGGTTCCACTGCTGGGTTTGGATGTGAGTGGTAATGGTGTACATCGGTGTTGCTAGTTGGCTAGTATCTGATCTTGAGGGACATTATCTTCGATGGTCCTGAGTTTTGGCATTTAGCAGAGCATCTTACGCCGTGAAAGGCGTACTACATGAGATCCAGGCCATGAACTCGGAAGTTTGTGCAATATCAAATGTTTACCTGGTTCATGTCTGGATGGAGATTGCGATGGCGTCATACGTCACGTTGTTTGTTCTGTTTATTTATCATACCACGTGATCTATGTAACATGCGAGAATCGGGTGAATAAGTATTGAATCCGCTCCGGAGATGGTTTCCGGCTCGTTTTGACATTTCTTTCTTTAAGACTGACTGTCTTGGATCATCTCCGAGCATGAATTTGGATGATTCTGGTCATCTGAACGTGGGCATCGGTCAACTGACGGAATTAATTGGGGATATCAGTGTTTGTAAATGCGTGGAGTACAATTGGAATGAGGAATAGTGAAGAGAAGACTTTTGGGGACATTCGGAGAAACGACAACCATAGACAGCCGTAGTGATTGCGTCAAGAAAAAGGAAATGATCTAAACAACAAAAGAAATAAAAGAAAAAGGCGTTATAGCGTATCCAGCCTGTCGCTCCACTAGACCGGCGACCTGAGATATTTCAAAAGGTGAAAGCTGCTCCAAAACAGACATTCAAACTGGATTAGCATCTTTTATATCGTCATCGGCATCCAACAGAAGTCAACTGGTTCATTTCGTCGACCTGTTGGCTTCTTTAAGTTCTTTTATATTTCTAATTTCCGTTGGTCTGGATCCCCGCTGCAGCAGCTTCCGCATTGGCAGCAGCCAAAGCCTTGGCGTCGGCTTCATGGAAGACAGCCTGCAGCACTTGCTGCTCCTCTGCAGTCAAGATCTTCGTTAAGTTCTCATAGAGCTGTGGCTGTTCCTGCTGAAGACCTGTAACACAGTAAGCTAACGGCGTTTCGAAGCCTGGAGAATGAATGATACATACCCATGAAGACGTGCTTAAACAGGCCATATGGCTCGACCTTGTCCAATGGCGTCTCGAGTAGGCTTTCCTCGTCCAAGTCATCCTCATCATCATCCGCAAAGGAGCCGAACTTCTGGGCCTAAGTATCCAGTCAGTCAATGAGGTTCAACTGCGTTAATGCATGGGATAGCTCACCTCTTTATTCAAGAAATCAAGGTATGCGGCACTCTCATCTTGGACATCGCCCTCAGGGCCACCCTCGGTCTCATCTTGATCGGTCCACTCAACTTCTCCATCCCAGTCGTTGTCCTCATCACCTTCGTCATCCTCGTCCTCGAAGGCAAAGTCTGACTCTTTAGTTGCATCTTCGCGGCCTGTACAGGGTAAGTTTGATATCTCAACGATGGTAGGGAAGCAACATACTCTTAAGCGCAGCAGGCAGTGTCTGGAAAAGTCTGGTCACTCCCTGAAGCAACCTAGGCCAACCTTGCTGTACGCTCACGGGAACATCACCAGCATTCAATGTCAGAAGTGAGGTGATTGCTGCAATGGAGAGCTTCTTGTCATGAACTCTGCGGAAGTTGTCGATGTTGGAGAACCAGGCGCTGAAGAACTTGTTTGTCCAGCCCTTAGCCTCCAGAACTTGAAGACTGAGAAGAGGGTTATAGTAGATAGCGTTAATTACCATCTCAATAAGATGGATGCGGTAGGACTTGGTCTTTGCCTCGTCAGCGTCGAGCACGCGCATAGGCAACTCAATGAACAGAGGAATGTATTGGTCAATGCCGCCACGCAGGTTCAGCATCACAGTCTCTGCTAGCTTGCAACCGCAGATCCGGTCCACACCACCAACCTTCTCATCGCGGAAGATGTCTTCGACCATACTAACAACAGCTGCCAGGTACGCCGGATTCTGAACCATCATCTGAGAGCCATATGCGACATAATTGTCAAGTGCAGGCAGCATGTCCTCCAGGTACAATTCCGCGCCCGCTTTGAAGGTCTTGTGAATAAGCTCGAATGCTTGCCACATAGTGGGCGAGATGGACTTAGACGCAAAGGTGCAACTGTCGATAATCTCAAAGATTTCGTTGTAGAGGTCATATAGCTTATTCTCAAGCGTAATGCTGATTACAGGCATGAGGATAGTTTCAAGGTGCAGTAGGACATCAGGGGTGCTCTCCAGGGTGAGAATGAGGGTTCCAATAGTTTGCAAGACACCCAGGGCAGTGATACTTTTATCATCCAAGAAGTCACCATATTCATCATCACCCTTCGTGGCGTTTCTTTCCAAAAGTTCACCAACAATACGCATGTATGTGTCACGGAGCTGCTCACTCAATGCCACAGCGAATGGAGTGAGCTCAGCAGAGAAAACTTCAACGAAATCTTCCATAACGTTGGCCAAGGCATCCACATCGACCTCATTGGCAAGTTTGAGAAGCTGCTGCATGATCTGAGGAATGTTCTGCTGCATCGAAGTGCGAATGATATCGTGGCGGATGAGGGGTTGCAAAGCAAGGGCCGCTTCAACCCTTACAGGAAGTTCAGGATCAGTCATCGATTCAAGGATATTGCGATAGATGATCATAAGGTTGTTCGGATCTTGGAAGTCGAGCTGCTCAAACTTCTCCAAAGTGTCGCATGCGCGAGCTCTGAGGAAGCCATGGGGACTGCGGAATTCAGGGAAGACGTGACGGACAAAGAAGTATTCAACCTGATCCGCAATAGGGCTCTTCTTTCCAAGGATCACTGAAGCCAACGAACCAATCATCCGCAGAGCGCCTTCTTTCTCCCTGGGAAGCTTCTGGTCATCCGGAGCAGCTTCATACTTGCTGACGACGCCGTTGACGAACGTAAGGATCGAAAATGTCTGCTTCTTGCGGTTCTTCGTGAGAGCAACAAGGAAGTTCGTTGCTGCAACATCAGGCGCGGACACCTCCTCGTAGTAGTTCAGCTTACGGTGGAGATACTCGGAGGGGTCGGTCTGGAACAATTCGATGTCCTCGTCGGATTGGCAAAGGATGGGGAAGATAAAATGAGCGACCAAGTTGTCCATATGTGGCTTGAGGTGGTCCCACATCGCCTTCGGCTTGACACATTCTTCCATGTAGACCAAAGTGTAGGCGAGGGCAGGGTTGCTAAGCCACTGGCCCTTGGAAACCCACTTATCGATTTCCTGCAGATATCCCTTCAGAATTTCCGGGGCGAAAGTAGCGATGAAGTTCTTGGCGTACTGGGTATAATCAGGTGTGCTCGACTTGGTCATTGTAGTTGGGTTTCCGTATCTATAAAAGTTAGGAAGTGCTAACCTCTCTCGACGCAGGAAACTCACCTGATAAAGAGACGGTTCAAGTTAGCGTAGGACCACTTCTTGCACTTCCACCAGTGGTTGAGCTCCCTCTCTTCCTTAGATTCCAACATGGAGTTTGCAGGCGGATCCTTGGCGATAATTCTGAGGAACAGTGTGCACCAGTCGACAGTCGCTTGATGTGTTTGCAGGAACGGCGAGAGCTCGAACTATACATCCTCAGTCAGCTGCGATCCAATGTTCATATTGTCGTTTCCGAAGTCTGGTTCACCCACATAGATGGCATGTTTGTAGGACTTGACGACAATTCGGAGCATTTCAGCAGCCTCCAAACTTTCTTCATCGACAAGCTTCAAGCCGATGTTAAGTAGCTGAGGGAACGTATGCTCGACAATCTTATCAAACTCCTCCCTCTTCTCACCAGCCTTGAATCTATACACACGGCAGATAGCCTGCAGACACTGCAGACCAGCATAGACCGAGCTTGCATCATTGGTGCCTAACAACTGGAGGGTGATATCCAAGAAACCCGGCCACTGCTCGGGGAAGTCATGCTGGAGAATCTTCTGGAGAAGTGGGACAAGCTGTGCGCGAACGTTCGGGGGTGTTGATACCAAAGCCGGGATCAACCTTTCACGGAAGCCCGGTTTCTCCCCCTCTGGAATCGGTGTGCGCTGTGGGTTTTCTTCGACGGAAGACCAGCCACGAGTAATTCGGTTCTTCAAGTAAACACCGGCTACAGAAGATCATTTTTGTGTTAGATTTTACTTCATAGATGATATGAAGCAAGGGCGAGGGGAGGGGGAAAAATCCGGCTGACAAAAACGTACCCGACAGTTGGACGGCATTATTTTGTTCCCCTTGCAAAATATCCAAAAGCGCATTTATAAAGCCGGGCTGTGTCTCGGCCTACGATATTCGGATAATGGTATGAGTATATGCCAGAATCAAATCCATCCAAAAGTATTCCACATACATATTTTAAATCTATCTCAGCCTGACGGCGATTATCCGCATTTGGGTCGAGCGTTGACTGTATGCGGTCCCGAAGAGCTGTAACATCCATATCGCACCAACAGCAGCAAACCCCCAGCAAACAGAAATCGTATTCCGAATCAGAAGTGCCCCGTCACGTAGTAAGAGGCCCGGTAGGACAGGGAAAGGGGCCGAGAGAGTTATGTCGCGGGGAGATGTTGTAGTAAGAAAGTGCAAATGTGCACATTGGGTTTGTTGGGTTTGGTTTGGTTTTCTCGTGGATTTTCAAGCGGTGCCGGCCCCGCGCCTATGGCAGCTAATCAGAGGCTCGCCGCCACGCGCGGTAAGAGAATTTTTTGCTGCTCCTGAACATTTTGCCCCGGAAAGGAAAGGAAAATTCCCAGACTAGCTTTAAGGACCCAAGGTTTCCATCGGTTTTGCCGGCAGAAAGGCTGGATGCAATTAATTTTCTCGACTGTCTCTATGGTAATCCATTCAACATCCTTGCTAACATGCCTCTTTGTATGAGAATAGAAAAAGGGCTTTTTTGAATCTGAAATTCACACAGACAAATAGACAAACAATTTTTTTATGTAAATAAATAAAAATGAAATAAGATTGACACCCACGTGGTGATGAACCTTAGTTGAACCTCTCGGTCTAACTACATATACAACGACGCCGCAAAAATCACATCCCTCTTGATCAGTTCCTGTGCCTGTTGCATCTTGGTATACAATGACGGATCTCCAACCAGCTTCGCCGCGTTCTTCACTTCTCGGCATGTTTCGTCCAGACGAGTAATGGTTCGTACAATGGTACCTTCCATCACATCGGTGAGATCAGTGATGCGGTTGAAAGACATCCCCTTAGCCCATTCATAGACGACTTCCGCCAGACCAAATCGTGGTTGACTGGCAAAATCATTGCTGTCTTCACTAGACTGAATGACCTGGTATTGGATTTGGAAGTCGTTCACCTTCTCCGAAATCTTAACGATGGCTTCCTTGCCCTTTTCCAAGCGCGGTGTCAATGTAGGAACATTCTCGGTCTTTTCCTGGAAGACAAAGGCGGATAGAAGTGCAACAATCTCCTCAGGCTCGTATTCAGCTAAGACGTTCTCGAGGACCAATTCCGTCAAGACAAGCTCATCAGCTGAGTGAATCTAACCCATTTGTTAGTAAAAAGCCCACGATCCCTTTCATCGAGTTACCAAACCTACCTCACATGCTACCTTGCCTTTGAGCTGTACACGAGACTGTTCATCTATGAACCCTAGTTCTCTCAGTACCTGGATACGTTGCTCATAATCCGGCAAAAGCTGAAGGTTTTGATCGGACATCAATTGCTTCAGCTGCGAAATATTCTCTTTGACTTGCCATTCATCGTGTTGCATCTCGAACTGCTTGATGTAAGCATGTTTAATCCGCTTTTCGGAAACAGAGTGCTCACTTACATGTTTCAAGAAGTCCGGGCATTGCAAGCATTTGCAGGACTCGGCAATTGTTGCCTGAGCTTGTCGCTTTTCTAGTATGTCCCTCACCTGCAGTTCCTTGATTCGAGTCCAATCTATTTCGTCCCAAGCGGTACTCGTCCATGATGCGCAGTATTTGTGCAGCTCTTTATCGGCATATTTAATGGCCTCTGTTTTTTCAACTCGTTAGCACTTTTTGTAGTCATATGGCCAATTTCCACTCACCCTTCTTGATATTGAGATACCATGTTGGACCTGTCAACTTCACCATGGTATTGGTGAGACACTCCAGATCGGAGAGCGGTATCTTGCAAACTTTCAAGGTCATATCAGCTCCACGGGTTGGTAGAGTCTGGAACAGATGTCGGAATTTAGAAAGGAAGGGAAGTATATCACTTGGATGACGTCTGCCACCTAGTTTGCCGATTTCGAGAATCTGTACGGTGGGCGTGGGCCCTCCTCCAACCCCTTCCCGGACGATAATGCCAGCCGTCCGATAACCATCCTGAGGAAAATTCAGAAATAAAGATCAGGTAATTAAGATGCTCAACGTACCTTTCTGTAAACCACCAGCCGCTTGGGCACAAAGAGACGTTTACCAACGGGAGAGGCGAGCAACCCAACATACAGCTCACTTGTTAGTTTTCCGTACTCCATAGCTGCATTATGACAAGCCACGAGATCAATGTCACAGATATCGCACGGTTCACGCTTGATCTTAGCCAAGCTGGCTTCTGATAGTTGAACCTGCTTCTCATGCTCTGGAAGCAAAGCCTGCGTGGCATTTTCACTAAAACTGCGCTTGATCATCTCTTCAATCCTTAAAGCCTCAACACGCAAAAGGTTCAGGATCATATTGTAAGTAAGCCTAAATTGGGATCGAAGCTTGGTTGGTTCACCAAGGATCATCCGCTTCAAAGCACCGGCAGGAGGCGCTTCGTCTTTACCAGTGCTAGTAATGATCACATAGCCGACAGTATCAAGGCCTCTTCGCCCAGCACGGCCAGCCATCTGGGTATATTCACCCGGTAGCAGGTCCCTGAATCCTTTACCATCGTGTTTGCGGAACCCTGAGAAAACCACCGTACGAGTTGGCAGATTCAGTCCCATAGCAAAGGTCTCCGTTGCGAAAAGCACCTTAACCAATGATTTTGCGAACAGGATCTCAACAATCTCTTTCATAATAGGCAGAAGACCTCCATGATGAACAGCAATTCCTCTGCTTAGCAAGTCGCGAAGACGAAGTATCTGTGGGAGCGTCCTATCTTCGGGCTTCAGACGGGTAAGTGACTTTTCGATAAACATGTGGGTAAGACTTTTTTCCGATGCATTACAGAAATCCTGGTTTGAGAGTGAATCGGCATTCTCCTCGCATCTTTTCTTGGAGAACACGAAAATACAACCAGGGAGCAGATTTTCTTTGCGGAGATGTTGGACAAGTTGTACCCAGACAGTCTTATCCTGTGCAGCTGTTGTCCGTCCACCACCTCTTCCTGTACGAGCAATGTTCCCGGTGCCCCTATTGGCTGGCTGCCCTCTACCACGCTGAGCACCACCCCCGCGTTGGGCACCTCCACGCTGCGAATTGCCGCGAGGGCCCCCTCTGCCAGGAGCTTGGCCGCGGCCTCTTCCCTGCTGGCCGCCTCTCTGAGCTTGGGACTGAGCCTGAGCCTCGGCAGCTTTTTGGGCCTTGATCTTATCTCTGCCAGAGATAACGTTATCTGCTTCTTTCCAACCGCCTTCGAGGAATCGCTTATTTGAGTCAACGATTTTGAACTTATCTTTACCAGCCCACAAGTAGTGCTCGAGTGGAACAGGTCGTTTCGCAGTCGAAATAACATAGATATCCTTCTTCTTCGTGCGACCAACCCAAGAGGCAAATTCATAGGTGTTAGGGACCGTAGCAGATAGAAGAATCAGTGTGACATGTTCAGGAAGCATGATGATCACTTCTTCCCAAACGACACCTCTTTCGAGATCATTGACATAATGTACCTCGTCAAAGATCACAAACTCGACATCTCTGATCAGATCTGCTCCACGGTAAAGCATACTTCGGAGGATTTCAGTGGTCATGATCAGGCAGCTTGCCTCTGGATTGATCTGGACATCACCCGTAAGGATACCAACATCGTCAAATGTAGTCCTAAAATCCCTAAACTTCTGATTACTGAGAGCCTTGATGGGAGATGTATAGATAGCCTTGGTCATATGCTTGGCAGCCAAAGCAATAGCATATTCAGCAACAACTGTCTTTCCAGCTGACGTATGTGCCGCGACAAAAACGGAATCACCGCTCTCCAAATGGTAGACAGCCTCTTTCTGGAAAGTGTCCAGTTCAAAGGGCCACTCTCTGGCCATATCCGGTACAAGCTCGCTGAAATTGGGAATGTCTTTGTTAACATCCACAACATGCGCCCATTCCCTGCCACCCTTCTTCTGGACAGCTGATAACAGAGGAGCACGGGGTTCCAGTGCTGGGAACTCAACCGGCAGTAATGAATCTATATCTTCCTCATCTCCGCTCAGCTCGTCGTCTTCAATCTTCACTCCTCCAACATCTGAAGCCGTGTCGTCCTTTTCAACTGGGAGGTCAGCTTCCTCCTGCTGGAGGACATGTTCGACTTCTTGATCATTCTCAGCAGCTTCTTTTGATTTTGCTACCTCGAATTTAAGGCCACGACTGAACCCTGGAGCGACTTCTAGGAGGCCACCCTCAGCACCGAAGTTAATGATCCGGTCAAGGCCAGATTGCTTGCCGCCCGGTCTCGAGCCATCTGCTGTCTGGGCTTCAGATTCCAATTCAGCAATAGCCTCAACACCATCAAGTCCACCTGGTGCGAAGGGAAAGAACCCAGCGGCGCCCCTGACGAAATCTGCGCGACCAGCTGGTCGACGAAGCAGAGATGTTGAGTTCTTTGCATTTGTACTGGTGGCAGGAACCGTAACTTCATGGTAGCCAGTAACACGCCCTTCTAGCCCTTCGCGGTCGAAACGAACAATAGTTCGTGTTTGGGTTGGTGCGACCTCAAAAAGGTCCTTGTAGTCTGTCGACACATCCCATCGTCTGCAGAATTGTCAGCGGATGGAAGGGCCAAGGTGGGATATCGAACAAAACAAGGCATATGGCAAGTGGTGTCTCGAACCTTTGTAGACGATTCAGCCACTCAGGGCTAAATTGAGATGATGGAGTAAGGAAGTCAGCCTCCAGCTCTTTAATAAGATCTTCGGCATTTTGGCGGGCTCTTGGCCGAGGACCCCGATTCTGATATTGCCCACTTTGTTCTTCTGCAAGTCGCTCATCAAAAGCTGGCCCGCTGAGACCCTGTGCATTCAGGTTTAGCTCAGCTAGAGTTGCAGCGAGAGCTTCTGTCTGCGCCATTGGGGGACGGTAGAAGTGACTGTCCAGAAAGGTCTATCTGGGGAGCTGGTAGGAACACCCTATCGGTTCCCAACAATCGTTTAAATATTGCGTTAGGCACAAAATGGTTGTAAGTAGCTGCTATTGTAGTGGAGCAACGTACTGTCACCGGTGCCTGCAATATTTACCAAGAATGTCACAACATTCACAGGTTGAGGTGCGAAGAAAGAAAGGTACCTCATTCGTTGGCGGTGTTTAGCGGCGGAACACAAACGCTGACGTCGTGTGGGGACATTAATGGATTTTAGGCCAAACCCATGTCTACTCTTCAGACTACATATCGATCTGGTAGATATATTTTTAGTATAAAATGGATATAAAGCCCTTTGGTGCCCTCTTTTAGTATTTGCTGGCAAATTCTGGTTATTCAATTTTGGATTTTTTTTTTTCCTTTTCCCCTCCAAAGTGGGGGTCGGACAGGCCTACTCAGTAAGTGGGTTTAATGCCCACATCTATGCAATTTGAAGGATTTCTCCAATTTGTCCAACAGATTGTCTACTCAGGGGCATCATATCCAGATATTTCAGAGGGATATATTCTTTCTAGCTAAAAGCTAGCCTTGACATACATAGCAATACCACACGTATACAGCCAGAAGGGCCACCCAAACAGTAGCTGAAAGAATAGCATTGTTATACCCGTCCGTAACCCTGTTACACATACCTGAGGACATTAAGATGGAAATGCGATATTAGCCTGATTTGGTAGAGAAATATATGAAGGTACCCTTGAATGTACTCAAGTCCACATCGGCGAGCTTATTAAGCATGCATGAGTCTCAAGATCACCTTACTAACAACTTAGTGGAATAACTATGATCAGGCAGCCAAGGAGTGTCACAGGGAGAGCGAAGCCGAACAGCAGAACTAGGTAGACGAAACAATAGCAGTCTACTAAGAGTACACCGAATCAACCAGCATATGTTCTATCAAAAATCCAGGACGAACTACAGAAGCCTCGTACAAGGGAAGAATCATGATACGTAGAACCTCAACCTGAGGCAGCAACACCTAGCTACCAGTACTAGTAGATTTAGGTAGTTGATCATGCGCGGTCAATGTTACTCCGTACTTTGCAGTTCAAAGAAAGGTGATAAGAGTTTAGTACTAGCATTCTTGTGTTGTTCTTTTTATTTAACCTTTTAGGGTAGAAAAGAAGACAAAAAAAATTACCACAGAAAGAAAAAGAAAATTACCTCGACTACCGCATGCGTCCAAATTCAAATCGGACTAAGCAATTCAAAGATAAATGGGTTCCTTAGTAGAAGGGAATGCTTGGAGTCCAAGTCCGGACTTCTTGCTCTTGACCGCATTCCCCGGATCGACCGCCAAAAGCCTTTGTGTCAAGTCTTACGTCATCCGCCCATGACTCCCGCCGAAAGTCATGATCGCACTGGAATACAAGGTTGTCAAGTAAGAGCGGTGATCTCTTACTACTTGGGCTGAGAGCTCAAGCTTAATTACATCGAGCTATCGCTTCCTACCCAACATTTTGAAACATTATTAACCCGCCAAACCATTCTCCGATTACGTTCGTACCACTCCTCTACTTCCACGTTGACGACTCAGCGGCCCTATCCCTTTCAGCTCTCCAGCTGTGTTCACCTTCCCTGTGGTTCGCCTCTATAGCCTCCCCGTCATTCTCGCAACGCCGCTACCGCATGGGAATCAATATATCCAACGATGTCACCTTAGTTTAGCCTCGACCTCTCACCATGACTACGGATTCTGCGCTTTCGTTGGTCTTTCCCCATCCAACGAGTAATGATGTATACCTACGTTCCGCCGTCAACTAACACCCTGCGCTGCGATTCTAGGTACCATTCGACCGAGTCTCTAATCCTTCCGAAAAAGCGACGCTTCTTTCCCTTTAAGATCCCAAATTTGTCAGTCTCCTAGACTCGGCGCAGCTTGGTCGCACGCTTGACTTGAACTAACAACTATTTAGCCACCAACAACTACGCAACTATATCAGCACCGCTGACCCTGATAAGATTTACGTTGTCGTCGACAGAGTCATATATACAATTCACATATCATCGCAAAAACGAGAGACCCTAGCTGTTATCCCGTTCGAACCGAAATGTCTTGCTGCGGGTTACGGTTGGATCGCGGTTGGAGGTTCGGACAATGGTGAATGTGCTTTGATCAGGATCTCCGACCGGGGAGTGCGTGTACGGGAAGATACATCAACTTCTCAACCTTCAGATATTGACAGTGCCTTGCCGATTGATCTTGGTGCGCCTACAAGGCTCTCCCAATCCTGGCTTTCTGGCGAAGAACCGGATTCAGTACATGATGCCGACCAAACGCAGCTGCCGGGTGTCCAGCTGCATAAGTTTGGTGGCAGCATCGTTAACTCCGTGACCATCCACCGACTGCCTGGTGATGGAAAAGGCTTAGCAGATGAGGACATCATCATTCTCAGGTATTGCGGTCACATCCTACCATCACACCACTGACGTGCTGATGAATACTGCCAGTAATAATGACAAGTCGGTCACCGTTTATTCTCTAACCCGTTCGAAGGTTCTCAAGGTCCTCAATCACCCGGCATGCATGAATTATGCGATCGTCTCACCAGACTCTACCATCCTGGCTGCAGTTGGTGATGAAACCCGCGCGTATTTCTATGATGTCACCCGAGATTTCGATACAACCGTCCTAACAGAAAACGGCGAAAAGCTTACAGGCTGGAACTGGGACCCTCTCCGTTCCATTGAAATGGAGATCGGTACTCGGATCGATGATGGTTGCTGTTTTACTGTTGCATTCTCCCAATTTAGTCGACTGTGTGCCATTGGGTCTCAATCCGGGGTTATTACTGTTTTCGATGTTAAAACGCTTCGAGATATTACCCACGAACCAAATGAGAAGAGCTCGATAATCTGCCATTTCAATTCCTCAAGGCTTTGTTGCAATGGTGGCGCTGTGCGCTGTATGACTTTTGCGCCCGAGCCTTGGGACCTCTTGGTGTGGCTCGAAGACAAGGGCCGGGCTGGAATTGCAGATGTTCGCCAGGGTTTCCTACGCAGGCAGATCATCCATCTGGACAGGAATGACCCTGAGATAGAGGAAGTTCGAACTGAGCCAATCTTGGACGATTCGGTGGGTTTGGAACTCGAAATTGATGGTCGATACAGCCCAGGATCCGGCGCGGATGCAGGACAGCGGGCCGCCCTAGGATCCATCGACACTCCGCCAAATGAATTGGGTGGGGAGGCGTCCGACAATCCGCCGTTGCGTGATGCTCTGTTACAGGATCTCACCGAAAGGGAGAGGTTAATCGTAGAGTTTCTGAACACAGCTCGCTGGACCTCAAGGCTGGAGGAGGGTTTAACAGAGAGACGAGCCAGAGCTAATGCTCATCCACATCCTGCACCCCGTCTGCGCTTCCAAGGTTCCGCAGATGTGTCCAATCGTACTTCTCGTCCCACTTCGCCCCTTCGTCATGGAGATTCGCTTCAGGACACGACACGGGATGACTCCTCAGCGCAGCCAGGAACTAGTGAGCGCAGACACAATGCTAGACGTCAAGCCTCTGTTATCCTATCCCAGGGCAACCCCGAAACGCGCAATCGAACTCCAGAGGCGGGCGGCTCAAACACAGAACCGCAGCCAAGCATTACACTCAGTTGGACTGCTTCACCGTCCGAGATACAATCGATTGTATCCGACACTCGTCAGCGTGCTGCAGACTCGTCGAGTGATCAGAGTAGTTCTAGTGGCAACGAAGCGGGCGTAGGAAGTCGGAATTATGGGACTTTAGGGCGCCCGTCCGCCACGGTGGACTATTCCACGGCCCCTGTAGACTCAATACCACGGCCACGGGACCATCAGCGATCCCGTTCCGGGCACAGACATACTGAGAGACAAGACAACCCGACTGGTACCCGACACGAACCTCTACGTGTACCAAATACAGAACTAAGAACCAACGTGGCAGCAGAGCGCCTTCGACGACAAAGACAAGTCGTCAATGAAACACATACCCGAAATCACCCGCGGTATCGGCAGCAGATACTAGGAATCGACAATACTCGCTCTCCTCGCTGGATTAGGAGTATCCTAAACGAGCTTCCAGACCGCAGCTTGGGAGTTGGACACAGAGATCAGGAGCCAGGGAGTACTGCTGGAATTGGGTGGGGTGCAGACGGCAGAACATTGTAGGTTCCCGGCGTACATTGACGATGACGATACTGACTTGCATAGGTACGTCGCAACTGTCGATGGTATATTCGAATACCAGCTTAACATCGGGGACCGGAAGACATTCCCTGTTGTCAATTACCGCTAGAACAACATTCTGTCTCAACGTTTTCTTTCACAGCTGAGCTATGACTTTTCATTTTCAAACTTGACGTCGCTTAATGTTGAATTAATATGATCCGGTAACCTTTCTGTGAAAGGATTCATGGTGACAATGGGAAAGGGGTATAGTTGACGGTGTTGGTTTCAGTTTGTTATTATTTCCTCCGTCTTCGAGTTTGGGCTTGATGTGCGATCTCCCGCATCATGAAATCTTGGAGATACCATCTTTTTTCACATTCGCTTCTTTCTCCTTCTCTTCTTTCTTTCCTTTACTCGCCCAGTTTGCTTCATCTCCTAGCTCAGTTAAGGATTCACACTACTCGCTATCTTCAGAGGCATCCATTTGTGCATAGTTGATTCATTTGTCTCATTGCATTTTCTTCCAGGCGTTTGGAAAAGGAAATGGGCCGCAGTATATGCAAGGATAGTTATAGTTCTATGTCAAAAGTTTCCGTGTATCTGCTCGATTCGTGCGATGCGAAAGATGGTCAAAGTAACGACGTCCTAGCCTCTAGCAGGCAGTTAGACCTTTTGATCTGAAGGTATACGAAAGATACCCCTACTAGGAACATTGTAGGTAGTGTTCGCGTCCAACGTTAAAAAATATAATCGGAGGGAACTCTTCCATCGATACCTTCCCTAGGAGCAAAT